TTTCTTAAATCATATTAGAGTCTATAGAGATCATGCCCCCACCTAAAAGCTGCATTTGCAATACAAGATAAGAAGGTATTTCACAAAAAGTGCAAGGTTTTCACGCCTGCTGGTATACCTGCAGCCATGGCTTCATGAATTTCCTTTTCTTTTCTTTTCTTTTTTTTCCCTTTCTTTATCTTTTTACAATGATACTTACAATGGATTCATTTATCTTGAAATGGCAGCAATCCTAGCTGCAGATCTCAATCTAAAGCCGTATCAAATTTTCTTGTAAAGTCAGGACTTTTCTCTGCTTCTTGGGAGCACTTCCAGCATCATTAGAGGCACTTCGTATGGGTTCAATGATGTTATTCAAGGTTTACGGTATTTCACTAAACACCATAAAATACAGGAAAAATGCTGAAAAATATGGGAAAGCTGCAAGAGATCACTTTTTACTGTGATAAGCAATTTATTGGAGAGACAACTGCTCACATGGAGATGATTAGCATCACATGGAGTTTTAAGCAAATACTTGCAACACTTGAGCTCACTGCAATAGCAACAGGAGGTGACTACAAAATTATTACGGTAATACAGCATGTACTACAGTCAGTTTTACACAGTTATTATTTAATACTGCATCTTTATGTTTGTTTACATTTCTCTCTCCTGTGAATGTCACCATATATGATTTGTAAGTGTATGTGTAAATTCTGATATATTTTAATTTTTTATAAAAGGTTTGTGTACATTTTATGGCAGAAAATGATAAAATATAAACTAGTATCTACATATATTTTGTGCATTCATAACATACCTAACTTTTTCTTAATTGCTTGACATTTCTAGGCTACAAGTTTCTTCTGCGAGTTTTTTCAAGCTGTTGAAAATTTTCCAATATATTTATTGAAAAATATCCACATGTAAGTGGACCCGCACAGTTTCAATCCCTGCAGTTCCAGGGTCAGCTGTACTCTACTGACTCCCCTGATTCCAATGCTAGTCTCATCTGGAAACAGCCTCGCAGACGCATCCAGACACCATGTTTAATCTGGGCATCTCGTTGCCCACTCAAGTTGACACATGATATTAACCATCACAGACACGGATGTCTGACTGACAGCTGGGCGTCTCCCCTGGCTGGCTAAGTCATCACGCACACCGTGTCACCAGAGCTCACCTGGCTGTCCTCTCTCGCATGGCTCCCTCTCTGCCTGCTGCCCACCAGAAACCTGCTCTTCCTCTTTTCTGTCCCTGTATCAGCTAAAGCATTCACCACACACCTGTTTTCCAAGCCAGAGGACTAAGAGTCATTCTGAGCTAATCCTTTTCCCCACCCTTATACTACCAGGTAGTACACAGATCTTATTACCGTGTTTCCCCGAAAATAAAACAGGGCCTTATATTTGTTTTTCCTCAAGAAGACACCCTAGGGCTTATTTTCAGGGGATGTGTTATTTTCCCCTCAAAGCCTCAGCTTGCAGCACGCACAGGATGGCCGGGACCTGACAGGGGGAGCTGACCTTGTTGTCGGGGCTGCCCATACCTATCCAGTCACCTCTGGGATAGTAGCTGTCACGAAGGGGCAGATGAGAAGGGCTGCTCGTCCTCTTTACTGCTCCGCGACGAAATGCATGGGTTGTGCAGATGCGCTGCGTAGCCACGCCCACCACTAGGGCTTATTTTCAGGGTAGGGCTTATATTGTGCAAATGCTTAGAAATCCTGCTAGGGCTTATTTTATGGGTAGGTCTTATTTTGGGGGGAACATGGTAGTTCTACCTTAGAAATATCTTTAAAAAGCTATCCACTTCTTTGCTCACAAACATTTTTCACCTGTTACAACAGTCTAATTGCACTCTCACCATCACTGTGCCCTTCATCCTGCCAGTCCATCCTCAGCAAAGCCACCAGTCATTCAGTTTACCAGCCCAGAGCATCTCCTTATCCCCCATTGGGTCCTTCACTAGCCAGAAAAGGTCAGATTCCAGTGTGGCCCTCGGGAGGGGTCTTAGCTGCATGCCTTGGCCATGGCTGGAGTTGTGGGAGGAGGCAAAGGGACAGCTCAAGCTTGGCTTATACAAATTAAAGACTTCTTCTGACAGTGAGAAGTGGTCCAGGCTTAGTGCTCTCTCATCAGCTGGGCCAGCCTACGCCTGTGACAAGCAATGGGTGTTATAACAAGACAGGGAGGACTGAGCCTGGCATTCCAGCCTTTCCTGCTGATTTGGAGTTTGTCGTTGGAGATCTCACCAGTAACCTCCTCTTATAAGCTCGTGCCATTTTCGGATCATGTAACACCCAGACAGATCTGGTGCTCCCTGGGTCATGGCACTGAGGGTATCATTTTGGTGTTTAAAAGTGTCTTCTTTGAGATTGATCAGATGAATACCAAATTTACCTAAATATTCCACATTAAGTAGGAAATGGGCCAGCAGTGTGTCCTCAAATGAGTGAAAAGGCAGGTTATCTTGGATTAGTGGCCACTCAGGAAGGCCAGGTTGTGAGACAGCTCTAATGCTGTCTAACACGGAAACCAAAGGGGTGAAGAATACCGATAAAGATGGGGATAGCTTCAGATCCCTGCTCCTGCACCTAGCAACAAGCCAAGTCTGCTTTAGTCCATTTTAAGTCTCTATCATCAAAACTAATGTGATTTCACTTCTCTGCCTCTGGGCTCTAGTTTGCTCACTAGATAGAGTCCAAACTTCTCTGACCCAGGGAAGACATCTTGTCCTCTGACTCCCCTGGGAGTCACTATTGCCTCTGGGCTCTCATAGACTCCACTGGGTATTCTATATTTGTGAATTCAGCTACCCACTAGCCTTTATTTGTAACCCCAAATCAATATTTGCAGTGATTTCATGGTCATTTGTGGACATTCGCAGAGTATCAGAAATTGGAGTCACTGATGTGTGTGCACATTCCCAGCTGAGGTTGAACAATGTCACCTCTGCCTTCTTGCTTCAGCTCCCATACTTTTCATGGCCATGTTTATTTATTACCATGTCTTTCAAATTTTTGTGCTTTTTGCTGGTAATTTCACTATTTAAATGGCACCCAGGTGTAGCATTAAAGTGCTGTCCAGTGCAGGGGTATGCCTTATGGAGAAAATATATGTATTAGATGAGCTTCATTTAGGCCTGAGTTATAGGGCTGTTGGCTGTGAGTTCAATGTTAATAAATCAACACGATGGTACCTCCAGAAAAAGGAAGAGGAAATGCACCCATCTGTACATGAGGCTGCTCTGGAAAGTGCTAAAGTGACACCCATATTATGTGATAAAAAGGTGGAAAAGTGGCTCAGTTCATGAATTTATGAGATGACAACTGATATTTTAAAAGTGTATTAAAAACTGCATTGTTGTGAGACTGAAAGCCCAAGGATTTACAGTCCCATTACCCAGGGTCAGAGAAATGTTAAACCCTTCCCGGCTAGGATTTTATTTCAAAGAACTACTGCAGATGACTGATTCATAAGAAATATATTAATGTATTAAATAAGGTGTCTTTACACAGAAACACAATAAAAAGGTCATGTAGTGATGTTCGTACTGTGACCAGAGGCTCACAGGAACCTCACCCTGTATTTCCCCTAGGAGCAGTGGTTCAGTATTCACAAATTCCGTGTTCACATGACTTTGTAGAACAGAACTACCATGAATAATGAGAATCAACTGCATGTCACTGTTTCTGCTCCACACTATGTCTTCTCTGTACCAGCACCTCTGCCTGCCAGTGTCCCGCTCCTGTTCAATGTTAAATAAAAGCGTGTTGAATAAATAAATGTCTTTGTGCAGGCAAGCTTGCTTCAGATGCAGTGTTACTTGGAATTGTGAGCCTCCACTGTACATGAGGAGTATGTGGGCTAGAAGTCATCCAGATGGCCTCATGGGTAGGATTGTTAGAATGGAAGTAAACACTACCTTTAAGAAAAATCTACAAAAGATGTAGTCTGTCTAAGGAATGTCAAGTTGCACATTGTCAGTTGTTCAAACTTCATGCCTTTGCAAAATTACAATGCATCAAGGTCAGGTATTTAAACTCCTTGTACACTCAGCACATATTGATTTTGCTTTTGAGTCTGCATGTGACATTCCACTTGGCTGGGGTCTATTTTATTCTTTTACCTTATTTTCCTGAGAATAAGTCACATGACCAGTTTTTCTGTGACCCAATGTCAAAACACAGAAGTAGAACAGTTTCATATCTAAGAATTTCATGAAATGTGTTTGGAATCAAACTTGAGTTCATATGATCCATGTACCCAGGACAATATTTATAGCCTGTGGCTGCCAGAATGACAACCATGTTCTCTTCTTTCATGTAGAAGAGGAAAAGGGGCCACTGAATTCCCCCTTTGCCTACCATGAAAGTAGAACTTTCAAGTAATGGAAGAAGGTTATGGGTGAGATGAGCAGAGAGCAGAGTTGGGATAATTTTTATGGGGACATATCATCTTTTGGGCTTCTGTGGTTTTTGAAGCCTGTAGCTGAGAATGTTTCAGAGCTCCTGCTTATTTAGTTAGGGGTTATCTTTACTGTGTTTTAGAAGTAAAGCTCAGAGAGAACAAGTACCAGGATGGAAGGGAAGAGGTTCAGAGTCACCTGTGGCTACTTTTTATGGTCTAGTGGTGCAGCTGTAAGTCATTTCCTCAAATCTCGATTTCTTGTCCACTCAACAAAAATAAAACGTAGCTAATGAGTTCACTAAATCTTTGAAAAAAACATACTATAAATGTGCTTTTCTAACTTTCAGATTTAAGAACGATAACATGTAAAGAAAAACCAAAATCCCCACCCATCACTTTGATGCCTTAGACCCAGGTTAAGGTAGCCTGGCTGTTGGTGAATGTTTATTGATAACAGCATCCTTGTATTTGAAGACAGTATTGACTACAGGCAGTACCAAGGAGTCAAGGTCATGGCAAGCTATCCTTGAGAGAGATCTTCCTCATGAAACAGGTTTTCCGCTCATAGGATGAATCATGAAAATCAACATCTATTTTATAGAAAATAGGAAATATTTAATATATATAAATTTATTTGCCTTGGCAATTATTTATTTACAATTAATGATTGATACCAACAAATGAGGTAAAATATACATGAGGTATAAATATAATATTTAAATGCAATATTATACTTTATTTCTGTTGGCAAGATAACAATGAATAAAATACTGTGGTATGACAAATAAACTTGATGCATCTTTCTTCTCCTTATTTTCCCTTTTTCTTTTTATTAAAGATGCACTGTGTTGTTATGCAGCAGTGATGTGATTAGTATGCGCATAAAAATTTAAAAAGTCAGGTAATTTGAAGAGGAGGGAGTCAGAAATACAATCATATTTGTTTTTATTTTGTTTAACACATCCTCTAGATCCTTGTTTCTCAGAGTGTGGTTTTCTGGGCAGCAGCATGGGCTTTCCTGAGGCTCATTAGAAATGCACGATCTCAGGCCAACCTCAGACTGTCTGAATCCAGGCTGCATTCTAACAAGATCCCCGAGTGGTTTGGTGCATGTGAAAGTTAAACTTGGAGAAGCGCTGCTTTGGATGATACAATGCCATTCGTCCTTGTGTGCCTATCATATTTTCCAAACATGCAGGGTCCCATCTCTGGAGTAGAACCAGTGTTTAGCCAGATTCAACTTCACTAATGATCTTGTCGGTGCATATAAAGTAATCCAGCATATGTGGTTAAATTTAAGATGTGACGGCAGAAGTGAATTTGTTTTGCTCACAGAGCATTGCCCAAATGGTAAATTACGGATTTGCTGCCACCTTCTAAGGTACACATGAGAATGAAAAATTCCTAGGTCATAATTCAAACAGTATGATTTTTCTCGCACCATACCAAACTCATATATAGCTTTTTTATTCTTCTCAATAAAATAATTGCACATCACTGATAACAGAAAATATCACATAAATGCATATGATACAAAATAATACCTGAAAACACTCCTTTGTTTTTCTTTTTCCCTCCAACATCAGTTGCTAAATCAGATATCAATCTGTTATGGACAACCAAAAAAAAAAAAATCTCTCTCCCTGAAACCAAACGCAATAAGTTATCCTTCTCTCACAGTTGTTGAAATACAATAACAAAAACAACTTCCATTCAACAGCAATGGGTTAAGGAGAGTCAATTTGCTTAGTCTGTACAATAATAAATAAGGCTGGGTCAAATGCATAGGTAGCGGGAAATCGCTAAGGAAGAAACATGGAATTAATCAACCTGATTATATTTTCTAAAACTAATGAAAGAACATAGTTTTGGTCTTATGTTAGTTTAAAACCCTGTCTTTCAAATTGCAAAATTTCAATGAATTATATTTTAAGAGCATAATACATAGCAGAGTATGAATTCCCTGAAGCTGTGACGATCCAGATTCTTGAACTGAATGACCATCACCTCCCTTTGTGTGTTGTCCAGACTTAAATTCAGTGCAATACATTGGTAAGAAAATGCCAATTAACTGTGACCAAATGGGCCACTGGTCAAATAGAACGACATTTAACAACATTATGAAATGTATTTATGAAAACCCGGGGCAACACAGAGGCTCCCTTCGGCAGTGAATACGTAAAGGCTATTATCTCCAGCTCGCCTGGGGGAAATACCATGTCTGTTTCAGTCACTGTTGCTGACTTCAGGGGCCCACTGAGGTCTGACACCTCACGGAAATTGCACCTGGTTGGGCCCAGTGGCAACTCCCAATTTAGCTTTGAATTTAGGGATGGCTTCTCACCCTCTGCTTTCCTTTAAAGAGAAGTAGATACTGTTTCCCTGGCTTTCTCCCAACACTCTACTCTCAGGTTTTGAATAACAGAAACAAATTATCGACACATAAGAACCTTTTAATGGCATTTTCCTTTGGTTAGCAAATCTTTGGTTAGACATCAGGGCATTTTCACACCTTGGTATTAGCAGCAGGTTCTGTGCAGCTTAGAGGACAGTGGGAAGAATGGGCCCAGAGCCACCTGGATAGAGCAATGTGAGGGAAGGACTCCCCGAGTCAGACAAGGTCCTTTTCAAAACACTCAATTCTATATAAAATCGGTATTTTACATATATACAGTAAAGATGGAGATATGCACACATATGTACATATGCTGTACATACATTTATTTACAGTTAAGAATATGCTTCTTAGAAGCCTTTAAATAGAAAATTAGGCAATGCACAAGGAATAATCCATTTAATTTTAAGTAATATAGATAAATGTTCAGATTTTAAAAAATATATTAGTAGGGATATAGCCATCTCCAGGAAGGCTAGGAAAGTTCTCAGAAATTCTTGCATCTTCAAAATCCTGACTTCTCAACGTCTCCATTTTTAAGCATTAGCCAAGTCCGTCAGTTCCTCTTCGTCTTGTTCTCTCACACACACTCTCTGCCACGAGCTTTCGCTGTAGCTTCCTCTTCCCTGAGTTTGAGGTCATGCTGGGGAAACTCAGATTTTAGTTTCTGGACCCTCAGCAATGAGGGGCTGGAAAGAGTTTCTAATCCTGGCGACTTCCGCTGCACACAGATGTCCAAAGCCTTTGCTGTACCATTCGGGGGAGCGGCCTCTGCAGGGAAAGAAAGCAGAAAGGAAGTGGGAACTTTTTTTCTCCCCAAATCACAGAAATTTGTCATGGCAGATGGGACTGTCCCTGGGCTATGATGACCGGTGCACTTGCATACAACCCGGGCTGCTGCCATGAGTTCCGAAGGACCTCATTCTGTCATCAGGTGCCTTGAACAAGTCTTGGCTGCCCAGTATTCACTCTGTCTGTTCAATATTCACCGGCCAGGGATGGGAACCCTGTGGCCTTAAGGCCATATGTGACCTTCTTGGTCCTTAAGTGCGTCCTTTTGACTGAATTCAAATTTTACAGAACGAATCCTTTCATTTTTATTAATACATTTTTGTTCATCTTTTATATATATATTTTAAATGAATGTATTTAAAATACCATAGAATAAAATAAGTTTCAAAGAAATAATCCTCCCAGATTGACCAGCACAATGAGAACATTTGTAAGCCATGAGGGCTAAACTGACGGCTGCTACGCTCATGGTTTAGTTCTAACTTGCCCTGCCTGACTGGCACCACTACTGCAGGAGGCTACTTGGTGAGAGTTTATGGGGGTCAAGTATGCAGTACACTGTGTTTTTGTTTGAAGTGGAATTTGTGAATAGTTAAACAATTTGACGTTATTTTTTAACTCTGTCTGATTAATAGCCCATGATGTCAAAGAAGACCAAGAGAATGCTGAAGAAAGAAAACACATTTTTAAATGGGGATTGGGGATTGCAATATTATCTTGTTTCTGCTAAAGATATGATGATTCGCATGCTTTGTGATACTGAAATTATCAACATTTAAGAAATTTAGTGCTCATCAGCATTATAACACTCATAAGGAGCACGAATATTTTGAATTAGAGAGACAGGCATGAAAGGTTATACTGCAGAAATTAAAAGATGAAAATCAAAAGGAAAGACAATTCTTTTAAGCAGCAATGAGACCTGGAAATAATGCCAATGAAGCAACTTATAAAGTAGCTTATATACTCAGGGGGAAAAGGGAAACCATTCAGTGATGTAGAAATTGTGAAAGAATGCATTGTCGAAGTTATAGGATTCTTAGATCCTGATAATGTTTTAAAGTACAAACAACTACCTCTTTCAAGGAGAACCATAACTGATTAGCAGCAAGAATTAGCTTTCAACTTAACAGAACAGCTTCATGCAATACTTCAAAAGGAAAATACATATTATTCAATTGTTTTGGATGAATCAACTGATACTACAGACTTGGCGCTGGTTTTATACTTCATTCAGGTCACAATGGAAGAGTTTCTTTGCTATGAAGATTCTTGCAAACAGAACACATTGCTGCTTATCTTCAACATCTTTCAAAATAAATGTGAAGTTGGACTGAATTTGGTATATTTAGGGAGTGTATGTATAGATGGTGCACCTTCCATGACAGGAAAACATGAAGGGTTTATTGCACAGATTTAAAAAAAAGTATTAACAGATCCAGATGCTCTCATTTCTTTTCATTGTATCTTGCATTAGCAAAATCTCTGTGCTAAAGCTACTATTTTATTAAGTGACACTTTGCAACAAGTTACAAGTATTGTTAACTATATTAGTGCAAATGCCACATGGCACCATCGTTTTTATAACATACTAAAGTTAAAGGATGAGGTATTCAATGTGGATTTGCTGTATCATTCCAACATGTATTAGCTATCACAGGGAGAGCTGTTAGCCAAAATTTTTTCTCTGCAAGAGCAGATAATTAAATTTTATAAAGAACAGAATCAGCGATGTGAATTATTGAAAGATTTCTATAGGAATGCAGCATTTCTTTGTGATATGTTAAAGTGAAACTTGAATATTTCTTTGCAAGGTAAAACTAAGTCTATATATGATATGTGGCAAAAAATTCCAAGCATTTCTAAGAAAGCTATTTTTTTCCAAACATTTCTTCAAAATGAAATTTTGGATGAACATTTTCCCCAGTTAGCAAAAGTCATTGATGAGCATGATGATATATACTAATCATTTGGAGAATACACAGCTGTCACACACCTATTAATCGGAGAATACAATGAAAGGCTCACTGACTTTGAGAATCATCACATCACACTCGAATTAGCATTTCAGCCTCACTTAGTTGATATCACCAAGTCACCTAAAGAACTACAGATGGAATTGATTGAGCTTTTAGTAGATGACATTTTAAAGTCATTGTTTGATGCTAAGAAAGATCCAATGGAAATATGGAAAAATGCAGTAGAATATCCACAACTTTGGCAACATGCCGAAAAAAATGCTTCCTTGCTTTTTAATCAGTTATTGCTGTGAATTTACATTCTCCTGCCTAGCCCAAACCAAGACATCCTTAAGGTCACAAATGACTGAGACCCATCTAGAGGATCCACTGAAACCATGCACCTCCATGCTGCAACCAAATATTCCAATGCTTTCCAACAAAAAGCAGACACAAGAAAATTATTAAAAGGTTAGTTAACTTTAAAATTAACAAATAGTTTTCAATTTTTGAAATTATTACATATAGTAGTTAAGATTTTTACAAAATAACGCACATTTTTGAGTATTACTGATTGAAGTTTCTCGAATGCGGCCTTATTTGATTACAGCTAAATTAATGCAGCCTTCCAGCATAAAAAGGTTGCCCACCCCTGGACCAACTCCCCGGGGTAAAATGGGAAGATTCTGACTGAATCTAGAATTTACCGAGAAAACTCAATTTATATCTACCCAGACCAAGGACTGTTTCACATCATGAATACCTTGAATGGGTTGGGTTTAAGTTAGTTTCTTCTCAAAGTAGAGCAAACTAGAGGCGGCCGCAAAAAGGGGAAGGCATTAAAGAAGCCCGAGAAGGGAGCTCAGATTCGCTGAGCATCTACTCTGCGCCGGGCCGCATTGCTCGTGTGTGTTCCATGGGAGAGACACAGACACAAAACCAGGCAGAAAACAGAAAATAAGCAAAGCAAAGGGGCTGCAGGAAGAATGTCTGAATTTTAGGAACGAGGGAAAGGGAGAGGGGAGGCATATGTAATCAGGTGTGAGGGCATGTTCATGGCCGCGAGGGGAAAAGTACAGTGAGTCAGCCCTTACTTCAGGTCTGTCCTGCAGATGTGGGTCAGTCTCGACTTGCCAGAGCCGCACGGCTCTATCAAGTGCTGCGACTCCATCACCACGGCACGCACGCCACCCAGGAGCGGGGCCTCCTCGTGCTCCACGGAGAGGGACACCAGGGCGCACATTCCTTTGGGCAAATCGGTCCTCCAGGTCCTGCAGCAAAACAGCCCGCACCTCAGAGTTATGGCCGAGAGAGAGAAAAAAACCTGAACACAGAGCTAAGGTTCACACTAATATTTTCCCGTCAAAAACCTGGGCTCGAATCCCAGTGCCAGTTACTTGGACTAAGCTGATGGTTTCCATAAGCTTGGGTCAAGTTTATGCAGCGCGGTTCAAAGCAGGATCTCAGCTCTTGGACTCAGAGGCCAGAAATGTTTGCAGCTTTCAGACCTGCGTTTGGAACTCCACACCGGGGCCCCCCTCTGCTGCAGAGGCTCCTGCCTATTATGGAAGAGGTGATTTTGCAGTTTAGGAATTAGGACTTGCTCAGTCAATTCATTTAGCAGACACCTAGTAAGCACATAGAGGAGCCAGCCTCTGAGAAGCCACCAGGGACACAGAGATACACACAGCCTGGTGGGAAAAACCGATGACTCTCCAAAGGATTCTAAAAACACTGTGGCTAGTGCAGTGATAAAGCTATGCACGGTGGGATCACGTGGGAGGCCTGGGGGAGGCATCTGGGAAGGCTTCCTAGAGGAGGTGATGCTTGATCCAAGTCTTCAAGGATAAGTGAACCAGTGATGTTTAGCTTGAAGAGAACAAAACATACATGGACCTGCTAATTATGTTTAAATACTTGAGTGGCTCTTGCATGGTAGAAGAGATAAACATGGTTGATTTGACTTCAAAAGGCAGAGGAACAGGAAAGCACCTTTTGGTTCAGTATAGAGAAGAGCTGTCTACCCATGTGTACTATCCACAAGTGGACGGGGGTCAGGGGCCAGGAGAGCGTCTGTGTGGCCACCTCCAACTTCTCTTTCTACCCAGGGATCTATAGTAACAGACTGTATCATTAGAATTCCTGTTACTTACTGCACGAATCCTATTCCCTCTCCTAGTCGTCTCGGTCATGACCACACCAGGGAGAGAAAACGCCATACGTGCCCAGCAGGGGCGTGGGAAGGACCCAGCCCTGCACAGGTGCTCAGCCACGTCCCCATGGCTGTGACCACTCTCTTGCCATGCACGACTGCACGACAAATTCTGAAGACTGAAAGTTGTAAAGATTTGTGGAGATAAAATGGGAAAATCATGGGAAAATATTCAGTAACTCTCTAGCTTCTAAGGAGCTAGCGATGGATATAAAATGAGAGATAACCATGGCAACCCTGAAAGGTGACCAGCCTTGTACGCATCTCAATCCTGTGACTTCTTCACCATACTTGTCACTCTCTACCTCCTCTTATCACACACATAAGGAATTCTTGTTGGCAGGAACCAGGGCTGGTTCACTGTTAGCCCTTAGGGGGTGGAGGCCTCATGGTTCACACACCTTCTTCTCAAGTGTTGGATCAAATACCTATGCAGTGAGACTCAGCCCTGACTATCACGTTTAAATGCCACTCCTTACTCTCTCCCTATCTCACTTGTTTCTCCCATGATAAGTAAGCCCATCCCCCTTTATGATTTACTGACTTTCTCTCCCCACTAAAATATGAACCCCAGGAGAGTAGGACAGTGGTTTGTTGCATTCACTGCTGTATCTCCAGAGCCTACGACAGTGTCTGGCACAAGGCAGGGAAGGAATGTAATAAACACTAGTAAACAGCAGGCTAGGGGACAGCTGGGAGGATGGAAGCAGGGGGCTTCCATGCATAGCCTCCAGCCCTCAGGCTCCTCTGGAGGGAGGGAAGAGAAACACTATGTGTGTCTCTATGTCACGGCTCCAGCCCTGAGGCTGCCATCCTGCAAGGACTGTTCAACTATTCAATTTTCCGTGAGAGTGAGGGTGTGAAGGTCACCTCCATAAGATGACTAATGTCCCAATAATGGTGGTAATAAGCCACCTTCTAACTGCCCACATTTTCCACCAGGATCCCAAGGATGCTGTGATAAACACATATATTTAGGGAAAATTGACCTTTCAAAGTCAAGGTCTCCAGGACCAATTCCAGAGGCATAAAGAGCCCATGTGAAAAGTAACCTTTAGTTTGTCATCAAAACTAGTTTCATAAAGAAACTCTTCCAAATATACACTTGGGAATTTCCTTAGTGGCTCCTTTTATATGGCTGATCTGTGAGATAAGACAAGGTTTGCCAAGGTTTTCAATAAAAAAGGGATATATTGATCTAATTACATTTTATTTGAGTTCTTTAGTACCCTTGATCCCTGCTCTTGCTGATGCAATACTGTATTTGTACTGTGCAAACTTCCTACTGTCAGCTGAACGCCCCACTCCAAGCCCAGAGAGCCGGGGTCTGGAACTCAACCCACAAATCAGTCAGAAGCGACATTTCAATGGCAGATGCAAGACTCTGCACGCCCTGACAGGTCCTGAAATCTGACTCTATGGTCAGCATAGCTGGACTTTCAGGGCCGTGCCAAGGTTTCCAAGCACGGTGATTAGTTAAGAACATCTGAAGTGGCACAGATGAGTTTTGAAGTTACACGTACTCCACGTGTTGAAAGTTACACAAACGGAAGACTTGCTTTTCCCAGGGGAAGAAAGGCAAAATCAGGAGAAAAGCCAGTCAGATTCAATTTATGTAACTTGGCTGAAAGTGCAACTGGACAAACAGCAGCGATTCTGGGGCCTCTGTTCTGAGGAAATGAGCACTGTTTATGGCCTAATACACTGTGTGCTCCACCAGGACAGGGGCCACATGAGGGCCCAGGCGGAGCTGTCAACTGGGTGAAAGCAGCAGGAAGTTGGGCACAAAATACAGCAAAGTCAGGCTGCACCGAGGGAGACGGGGACGGGCCTGCCCGGTGTCCCGGTGGAGCTGGACTCAGGAGGCAGAACTCCACACTGAGCTCTCCACAGCCCTCGTCTGCTTCTGGAACAGATAATCACAAGCCCTGGAGTCGGGCTTACCTGAGAACCACGAAGTCTCTGGAAGGGTGGGGGGCCATGCTGTTCAGCACGTACTGGTAGATTTCCGTCTGCCTGTCCAGCGTTTCCACGACCTTCCACTGCACAAAGTCCTCATCCCACAGGTGACGCTCTCTCAGCACGCGGTTCAAGACCACCGAGGGGGGAGCTTCCACTTCCACGGAAGCCTTCCACAGCTTCAGCGGGTTCCCGTCGCCCACCTGGGACAGACACCATCAGAAGCTGAAGAGGCCACCGGGTCTGGCAAGCACCTACCATGCTTCGCCAGGCGCTCAAACACCATCACTGAGGTGCACTGAAGGAGCGACGCTGCGTACCTCAGCTTTGACGTTTAAAAAGTGCAATCCTTAAGCTTAAAAGAATAACAATGATGGTAAGAGTAATAGCCACCAACGCACATGGTGCTTACTGTGCGGCAGGCACCATTCGAACCCATCTGATTTGTGAATGGCCTTTCTCTGATAGTGGTTCTCTTACAGTGTCCACTTTGCAAATGAGGAAACTGAGGCACAGAAAGGAGTGTGACACAGCGAAGGGGGAGACAGGACTGGGATCCAGCCACCTGGCTGCCCAGACGGCACTCTGGTTATCCGCAACAAGGTGGCTGAGTGGTCTCTACACTGGGTCTTTGAAAGGTACATGTGCCTTAACCTTAACGTGTGTGCCAAGCCCTGTGGATGCAGCAGGCATTTTAAAAGTAAAAATAAATTCCTGGTTGCTAGATGTGACTCTGTGAAGGTAATTGTTTTCCAGACCCTGAGGTTACCTTTTTGAAAGCAAGGTCTGTATTGTCCATGCTGGAGCACACGACCCATCCTTTGAACTTCTCCCTGGCTTCTTTCTGGAGGCCCTGGATGAGATGCTCCAGGTACGTGTGGAAGGTCGCCCCACTCTCCTCCAGCTGGGCCCCCAGGTCTTCCAGAGTTGGCAAGTGGATCTCAGCTTCCATGTATGAGCTGCGGGACTGGGCCACCATCTCATGTGGGACCTGGACCAGGGGACGCAAGAAAGAGCCACACACTGAGACAAAGAAATGCTGACACTAATAGAGAAAGCAAAGCCATTTTACCAACAGGCAAGGTCTGAGCAACGGGCCGAGGGCCGCAGGGATGGAGATGTTTTTCTACGATCAGTGCCAAGGCCAGAAGGGGCCTTCCTGAAGTCAGGAAATACAAATATGTTTCCGAGGCTATATTTATCATTCAAAACATTGCAATGACTCCCATTCATTCTTTCCATTTCCCTTTCATTTTACTTTCAATGTCTTTGTATTGTTTGGCAGAAGGTGGGCTCAGACAACTTCACTCACTGCGAATAGACTTAAAGCATATAGACTTGCTAAGGGAAAGAAACATCAAATGTGACTTAGGAATAGCTTTACCTTTTTAGCACACTTTCCCCATTGACAAATGCCAGCTTCACCACAAACGGCATGCCAGCAGTCTGGTTTGCTCACTTCTTTGACATACCTGCGGCTGTATTCATAAGCTGTCATTGAGTCTTAGCCACAAAGATTGCTCAATATCACACACACTCTCCCACAGATGCTGAACCTAATCAAGTCCTGAGGTAAAAATCAAATATAACATAATTGGCTGACTGGCCTTGAACCTGACAATGCCTGGTGCTACAACTGCTTGCATGAAAACTATCGGTATGGTAAACCCGAGTGTCTTTATCAAAGCCTCGATTGTAGAGCTAGCTAGCTCCTCACATTTCTTAGAGGTAAAGACCGGAGCTATAGAGCGTACCATTGTCATTGTAAGTCAGGAACAAACAGATAGAAACCATAAATGTAGCAACCATCCCAAGCGTCGTCTCATCTAGTTCCAAGAGCTACAAGGGAGGCGGTTAGAGCCTTTTGCTCACCTCAAAAAGTCTGTCGCATTCCATGATCATGTGCGCCAGCCCCTGAGCTGCGGCCAGATTCTCATTGAGGTCCTTTTGATCTGGCTTTCCCGTGGCATATTTCTTCTGTATGACTCTGTAATTGAATGTGAGTGTGCTAAGCAGATCCCACACCAAAGGGCTTGTCACAATACCCAGCTCATCCCTTCTGTTTTCTGTTCATGCCCAGATGCTAGCCAGATCCCAGGCTGTCTCATTTCCAAATAAAAACAATGACCACACATCTTAGATATTCCAAATCAGGCTAACAGTCTTGTCAGGTCAGAGCAAGAAAAAAAAAATCTTGGAAAAATACAAGGGCAGGAAGAACCGTGGGGTGTGGGGGGGGGATTAATCTGTTTTTCCAAAGTTTGAAACCACTTAAGTGCAAGACCCTGTGCTTTGGTCTTATATTAATATATAGCCTTTTTATTCAGGATTGTAAAATACTACTTTGTGTACTTTTTCCCTCCTTCCCACTCACACAAACAACAACAACAAAAAACAAAACAAAACTCCTCTGGCTTTCTGGATCACCACCGACATTCTTCAAGGCTACTTTGATCATTCCGTGAACTGGGGACCCATGAATTAGTGCCTCAGAACACTTTCTGCTCATGAAATGAGGGCTGACAAATCCTGAAGTTGAAACAAAATGTTTCATTCATTCATTCATTCATTCATTCATTCATTCATTCATTCATTCATTCATCCTATGAACTGTGGGGATGCCTCGTTTGGGGTTACTATGATGCTGAGAAAAACCCACCTTGGCGAACTTTCTTTCTTCAATAAATTAAGGTGAAATAGGGAGGGGGCCAGACACACGGCCAGGTTCATGGGCGTCATCTGATTCTCTTCCACCAAGTTGACGACGTCGTTCAGGAAGCACAGGAGTGTCTGCAGGACCTCCCTGTTCTCGTCAGCCAGCAGCAGGATGGCAGCCTGCACGGCCTGCAGCCGCTGCTCCTTGGGGACATCTGAGGAGAAGTGGGTGGCAGGTCATTAGAGGGACAGTCACAGGAAGAGCCTGCGGGGAGACAGTGCGAGGCTCCACCTTCCTGACCTGGAGACAAACTCAAGAGACTTCAGTCCCCACCACCAGAGCCACAGCTAACAGCACAGAAAAGCGACTGCGCAGGCCTCGTGGCTCGGGAGAGGCTGAGCTGAACGCCAGCCCCAGCAGCTGAATTCTAGAATGGTCTGGATGTCCAGGCAGGACTCAGAAAGGGGTACTACCATCCTGGCGGTTCATAACCTGAGCGACAACCTGCTCATCGGCTTTCTGAGCCCTTCCTGTTCTGGCTGAGGTTGGCGACTGACTGGGATTCTGTCAGCCTGGCTTTCTTCCTGCAGGACGGCAGCCGGGCTCAGTTAACCATGAGTGGGGTGGAGCTGGCTGGTCCTCTGGCCTCACGCCTAAAGGGTGAGCTCCTCCAGGGGAGGCCTGGTACCTCTTCCTCTTTCCCACTAGTCGCCCAGGGTTTGATTTGCAGGATGGACGCTGTCGACTTCATCTGGAGACCAAGTGTCACCTGTTCCATCATCTTGGGGTTTATGGAAATTAAGGTTATGCCTGGGGAAGAGGAATCAGGCTCCCTAAGGCAATGGGCCCTTCTCAGTCCCATTCCCCTTGAGGGTGGTCACAGAGGGCGTTGGTTATGCATGCTTAAAGGGAATTGGTCCCAACACCATGAGGTAAACTAAATGGAAAAATCATAGCAAATGGGTGTTAGGTGCTGCCCTCCCCCCACAGCTGTGTTTATTTAGTGATCATTTAGGTCTGAGTCCCTGTCCTCAGTCCTCTCTGAAAGAGACAGTCAGGGGAGCTCTCTTCGGTTAACATTGTTGTCTCTCTTAAAATGCCACCTTCTGGAACAGCAGTCTCCACAGTAGGCCATCTGTACTCCCAACGGGTGTGGGCATTGCTTGAGGTGTGGGAAGACAACAGTAGAACTTGCAACTGTGTTTATGTTTTCTCTCATCCATTAAAGGTACCGACTGGGTGTGCTTTATAAAGTGCACCGTATATCACAGTATGTTTACATTATTAGAAATAAATACATACTCAGATATTTACTACTGGGGTGCATGATGAAGGCATATTTGGAGCTTGCTGCTTTAGAGGGGCTTATGTGTGACCTCCTGCCTGGGCCCTGGGTGGCCACAGGTCCTGTGGGCTGGCGATGTTGGGCTCTCTGTCCTTCCTCATCGTCATGTAGGAGGATCTGCCACCCCAGGGATCGCCACACTCCTGGCCCCAGTCATCCAGCAACTCCAAATCCCTGGAAAAGTCTGATCATGCACCTGGCATTCTGAAACCTACCCAACCCCACCACATCCACTGTGTACTGGCACAAGATACACCTGGGTTCACAGAGACAAGCTTTGTGTTAAAACTACAGCAAAACCATTTTCTTTTTACTTGCTTGTGTGAAGCAGAAACAGATACTGCTAATGATTTCAAGCTTGTGAGAGGTGTTATAGATTCAGCTGGAGCCACTGGACTGTTTTTAAATATGCTGCTACAGGCAAGCTGTCTAGTGTGTATATTCTCTTCCATGCTAACATTTTTCTCCCAAGCCATCATTTTTGAAGAGTCACCTCTATATGTTGTTTCAATTTCCTTTCTATTCACTTGTTCCTTTATCTCTCAGAAAATACCTTCTGTCTATTATTTTCCACTAAAAATGCTTGAGAAGGTCAATTATTAATCTCTAAATTCAGCATTTGTTTGGGATTCTGTCCTCTTTGATCTTTCTGTTACAAACCACACGGCCGTGGGTCCTGCTCCTCTTTTGACTCTCAGGGGACTATTCTAGATCTGCATTTCTAAGTACTGAAAATTTTCAACTATGTGGATGGCTGTTGGCACCTCAAAGTCAGCCTCCTGGAATTCTGAACACTTTTCTCTCCCCTGCCCTAAATCCTTCTGCCCCTTCTCCCCATCACCTTCCACATTCTCTCTCTCTATTTTTTTTTTATTTCTGAGACAGAGTCTCACTCTGTCATCCCAGGTAGAGTACCATAGCACCATCATAGCTCACGACAACCTCAAACTCCTGGGCTCAAGCGATCCTCCTGCCTCAACCTCCTGAGTAAGCAGGCACCATGACGCCTGGCTAATTTTTCTATTTTCAGTAATGATGGGGTCTTGCTCTTGCTTAGGCTGTTCTCAAACTCCTGAGCTTAAGTGATCCTCCTGCCTTGGCCTCCCAGAGTGCTAGGATCACAGGTGTGAGCCACAGTGCCCGGCCTACCTTCCACATTCTCTTGGTCATCAAGCATTAAAATCTTATGGTTCTTGGATCCCTCCATCCTTCTCTCTCCTGTAGACTGGTAGGCTGCAAATATTTTCATCACCCACCCAGCACTCCATCTGAGTTTATCGTTTGACGAAAGCTCAAGAAGTGGCAGAGCTGACCACAGTGCTGGAGGAGGAACGGGTCCCCCCCCACCCAGGAGCAGCTTGGAAGCTTTCACTCCGGGGTCTTTCCATGAATATCTTATCTCCAGTCTCACTGCTGGAAGTCACTGCAGGTAACTCAGAGCCTCAATTAGTGTGCTGACTCCCTGACCCTCTGTTCTCATCTGGTTTCCCCTCCAACAGATTCCTGTGTCACGAGCACAGTGTTGACGGACCTGACCCTTGTGGCAGACACGAGGTTGGCCACCTACTCAATACCCACTCTCCCCTTCTTCCTCACTAAGGAAACTCACGTTCTGTTCAGGTGTGGGCGGCAATGTACTCAGGGACACGGCCCCTCCCTCAAACCCAGCAATGACCCATGCTGGCCTAAACCAAAAATGATAATCATGTTCCCCTTTTCACAGTGGTTGGTTTAGGGAGGAAGCTGTAAATCATTTCTGGCCAAGGGCACCAAGAGAAATGCTAGGAGCTTCTCCAAGATTTACCTCTCTGATAAAAAGAGGCATATGCCCTAGGAGATGTGCTTTCACTCTCTTCTTGCCTTGAATGTGATTTTGTGTAGATGTCATGATCCTGAGCTGTGGCAATCATATCATGACCCCCGGGGGAAAGCCAGGAGAAGCTGATTTAGCCCTGGCGTCTCTGAACTGTGAAATTACTTGACTACAAAATTATTTAATTCCAGATTTCTTATCATGTGAGATAATAAAATGTTTAAACAATAGTATGTTGGATTTTTTGGTTCTGTCTTCACAGCTGGGAGCATCGTAACTGGTAAGTCCCTCGGCAACAACCCCAGGGTTCCCCAATGCTTAATGAATCAAGTCTGAACTCCTTGTCCTAACACTCAAGGTCCTTCCTTGTATGGCCCCAGCCTAATTTTTCAGTGTCATTTGGTGCCACCTTGCACATTTACCATACACACAAGCCAGACGCGCACCCTGCACTCTGCTGATACGTGCGTGCTCTGCTGCTCTCTTCCCCAGAACGTGCTCCTCACGTATCTCACCTTCAGTTGTCACTTTCTCCACCCGCCCTCATTGCTCGTCTCAACCTCCCTGGACTCGTCTTTGTAACCTTTTTAGGGAGTTTCTCCAACCTTGTTGTGTGGCAGTTATTTATGTTCATGCCTCGTCTCCCTCAGTTGTAAGACCCTTAAGAGCAGAGAGCGAGTCTCACCCACCCATATGCTCTGCCACGCTCGGCTCGGTGCCCCTACAGAAGCCGCGCTCGGTAAATGTTTGCTCAGCTAAAACAAAGCCCTGCTTTGATCTAGCTTCTTGCTTGTGAGTCTCAGAAAGGGCCAAAGGCATTTATCTCTTGGAAATAATCTGTCTTTAGCCCTAGACTAGTATCAACTGTAACCCAAGAACTGATTAAACTTCCAAACCACACTTCCAAGCCATAAAGGAGTCTTAATTGAAAAATGCAGTTCAATCTCTTGTGACAACAACATGAACTCTGTGTTTGGGCTCTAGCAATGTATATCATTAATTTAACTTAACCTATTCACTTTGACAAAATAATATTTATTTAGGAGGTTGCCACTTTAATCTGTTTTTACAAGTGGTACTGATTAAAATCCTTTCTGAGTTTGGAATATTATAGACTCTTTAAACACATTTCGTACAGAATTCTCTAGAGCAGGGATCTTCTTCAAATTGGATCAATTCCATGTCAAGATCCATTTCAGGTATATTTTGCTGAAAACTCAAAATCCATGGGCCAAATGTTTTTTCAAGAAATTGGGACCTAGGCCATCAAAATAATTCATAATCCTAATGTTATTGTATGTAGAAAAGAGTCATGTGTTTATTTCTAATATCCTCCATTGTAACTGCCTTTAGTAGGATATACTTAATTAACAATTGTTACTTTCAATGATTATTTCAATTTTATGGGCTTGCTGAGAACTACTGATTTAATATCACTTAAAAAATTCCAAGTGAAAATATAAATTAGTCGGATTAAGCTTAAGCCTTTGGTCTAGTTACTTTTCACCAAGTAAAATACATTGTGTTAAAAAACTCTCACTTTTTATTTCTAGTCATTTCAATACATGTCACTTTGAATTTCCTATAGTCCAAGGAAATGCTTATTTTTTAAAAAATTATATAAGTTTGAATAAATACATGCATACAAAGCAACTTCTATTGTTTCCTTTTCATTTTAAATTTATTGTAAGTATATTGAAAGTTCGTTTAAAACCTAAAAAAAAACCCAAAAAAGAAGAAAAATTTGAAGGCAAAAAAGGTATTTTCAGAGGCATAAAAATGGCCTGGAGGCTTCCATAACAAACTACAAACAGAGGTTACTTCTGGAGAGGAGAATGGGATTATACACTTCTTTATGAATTCAGGTATTATTCATCTAATTAAAATGCAATCAGTAGGGAATTATTCTTTGCCCAAGTGGACGAGGCAGGCAAGAGCCCCATCCCATCGTTCGCACTTACACTGGTAGATGTGGAGGAAGGTCTCGCTGAGCTTGCTGGTGAACAGGGGCTCAGGAAGGTCCCGGAAGAACTGCTTCACCATGTCGGCCACGTCGTACGCAGACTGATCTTCGTAGCTGACGTTCTCAGGGAAGTTCTCGTTCATCTGGCGAAGCGCGTGGATGCGAGACTTCACCCCCGACTTGCGAAAAAGCCCCACCTGAAAGAAGCCACAGGGACGCGTTAGCCAGGGCGCCTGTCCCGGTGGACCCCGTGGGTGTGAAGGGGAAGCAGGGCGCCAGGATGGGACCTGCTGCAATTGCCTCTGGGTTGGTACCTTCTGGATTACCGGTGTAGCCACTGTCGGCAGTAGCGGAACACGAACTTCTTCTCCTATAACACCAAGATAAGAAAAATACCCACCTCGCAGGGCCACTGCGGAGACTAAATGAGGAAATAGACGTGAATGTGCTTTGTGACCTGTCAAGTCTGATCACATCGTAGATGCTATTATTTTACCCATTTTACTCATTTATTCAGCAAGTGGTGATTCAATTCCCACTGTGTATCCGATATATCTAGAGTTGCAGACAAAATCCCCTGCCCTCTAGCGTTTACACTTTTCTGGGGGTTTTGAGAAAGTCGGTCAATGGGAGGTTTGGTGGAAATAAGTGCGTGGCGGAAGCAGGGATCCAGGATAGGCAGCCATATCCTGTCCTCTTTGGGGGAGGGTTTATGGGGAATATGTTCATGAAACAGAATAATAACATAAGCATATGTTTTGATTTAAGGGTCTTATTTGCTTTCCCTTCTTTGGAATCTTTGCCACTCGCCAGTATGTTTCTCATGTTGTGCCTGGCACTTACTCTACCTGGTTAGCTACCATGTGTATAATCTTTGGCTCTAGTGAGAATGATTCCTGGGTGGCTTTTTTCCAGACTTCAAGATAATGTCACAGCATGCCCTTTCACCCTAGGGCTTAGGCTCCTCCCCTGCCTGACAAGTCAATGGGGTGATAAGGTACCCAGGACAATTAAGCTCTAGGCATCCTAGAGGCCCCTTCCACTCTGGACTTGCCTCTATCTAAAGGACTGAGCTTTTCTGGGAGCCCTGGTTTATAGCGGAATAATACATCGTCTATGTTTTAGATGCCTGTAAGGCATGGAGTTGCTCCAAACTTGCTCCTTCAACCCTCAATTTCCACTGCTGTCATTCTCCAGTGGCTCACCGGTCGGCCCGCTTCTGCAAAGCAAAGTGGGACCTTCCGAGTGGTCTAATGGCAGTGGCTGCTAGAGTGGCCACTGCTCTTCCTCCCTCTACCTGGATAAATAAATGCATAGCGTGGGTCATCTCACCAGCCGCTCTGTTTGCCAGGCTGGCCTCGACTCCAGTTCAGGTGTCTGAGAAGGCTCTCTTGATTGTTGCTACCAATGGAGACAGCCCTAATTCTTTTACACTGCAGTAATGGCACGGGAAGATTCCAAGCCATTAGAGAACACTCAGGTTTTTGCATGTCAGCTGCACGGATCACCAGGGAAATTACACACTGCTACTTTTTGTGCCCATAAAAACACAATTCTTAGTCATACGTCCTTGTATTTTAAGGCTTATCACCCTAATCCCACCGATCAGGATATTCAGGTGTATTGCCACTTAAAACGTTAATTATCTTCTTTTTTATTCTTAAAGTTTGGAATGTCTAGAAAGTGCAAAACTTTGCCACACTTAAAGGACTTGCCATGACGTAGCTAAAGAACAATTTATCTTCCTTGATCTGGCAACTACTCCAGATTTCATCAAAGTGCATGGGAAGAAAGCATTTACTGTCAAAAGAAAGAAAGAATTCAAGATCTCAAATGAGTGATTATTGAAGTGAGATCCACCTTCAATTTGTTTATATCCTCAACTTCTCTAATTCTGGACGGAGGCCCAGGACTGTGCACACCACGAGGCTGGGCTGCACAGGAGTTCTCAGAAGCTAAATGCCCCGAAGGTGAATTCTTACATGTGACTCACAAATATTTATCCTCACGTGAGTCGGTATTATTCCATTAGAGAAGAATTCCTATGGTTTTTTAACAGCAGAGAAATATTGATCAGGATCTATAAAAAGAATAAAGCAACAATGTTTGTATTTAAATTGTTGAGCATGTTCCTCTTTTGCCTACTGCGTCTTGCGGGCTGTTTCTGGGTACACACTGATGAGCCTGCACACACACATCCCGGCGATGCTATCTTTGTATTGTTCGGTTTCCAGGTTTCTTCCTCGTTTTAGCAAATATTGTTATTTTAATTATTTTAGACATGTCTGGAGCTTTCCAGCTCTGGGCTCTGAGCTGCTTGTTCTGACTCAGATCTCAGGATGTCCAGAGGGTTGTCGGGATTTATTTGTTCTGCCTCAAATTCTGACAATAACCTTCCCACCCCACCCTTATCTTCCAGGGGATGTGGGAAATATCTGTGGGTTTTGTGGATTTTTGTTGGAAGCTCAGAAGGAAATTTTTTTCCTAAACCTAATAAAGAAAAGGTGGTCTCAAATCAGATCAGATTTCAGATGTAGTAGCTGAGGATGGCAGGAGGGAAAAGACAGAAAGCACCCTGGTCTTCAAAGATAACAATGAGCTGATGAAGGGACTAACTCCAGAACCTTCTTGACTTTTTGTTATTATTAACGTGAGATCATGAATTTCCTATTGTTTAAGCCATTTAGGGCTGGGGCTTGCCGTGGAACACCCTGGGACACAGTGAGTAGAAGGTCCTTCTAATGGCCTAGTGGTCCTGAGACCAGAGGAGAGCTTCCTCTGTCTGTCCCCCTAGAGCAACACCGGGTGATGGCACAAGGCATTGCAAGTCATCATTTCTTCTTCAACAAGTTTCCAAAGCAAGGGTAAAGTCTGCATTTTTGACTAGAGTTTTTTTTTTTCCGATGTAAAACATGGAGAACTGAAGAAACCATGCCTTTTCCTTCTTATCACAGCTGATGGGAAGCAGCTCCAGACCCCTTAGCTGCATTAGGAGGAAGATGCCAGGAGGGCAAAATGTCTTTAATTTCCCTCCGTGTCTGTCACCCATGGGCAGGTGGCCTGGGCAGTCACACAGGGCCCCACATTTGGTTTAATGTGCTGCTGTCCCCGTTTTGAAATTCTCAATAATTTATTAACATGAACAAGGGATCCCAAATTTTCATTCTGTACTGCAAACTACACAGCCCAGATACGCTGTCTAGAAAGGAGAGAACGGCCATTAGCAATGCAGAGTTCACTGGAAGCATCTCTCTTGCCTGTGATTTCTCAGGCAAGAGAAATCTTTTAACGCCTTGACTGCCACACTAGAAAAAATTTCCTTGGGGCCACAGTGTTTTATTACAAAAACAGAATAAAAACTTTGAAAATGAAAGGATCCTTTCTAATTTAATGAAAAATTTGTTATTTTTTATTGTTTTCTGTGCGTGAGTTATAAGCAACTTGAAAAACAGTTCACGTGGCTCCCAAGGTAAAGAGATCTGTGAGTTACATATGCTTCACGAGTCCCCGGCCTCAAAACCAGCGTGAGTTAAATGCAACTCATGTGGCAGTTAACGTGTTAAAGGTAAAAGGATGAGGGATGAGTGTTCCCTTGGTCCAGTTTTCCTGTCCTCTCTCTTTTGTCTTCCGCTGAAAAACCCAGCAATGCAAAAGTGAGGACTTAAGGTGTGACTTAAATGGATGGGCCCAGAGCATCACTGTTTCTGAGGTGGGCACCGGGCCAAATAATGAGCAGGCAGAGGGGCAGGGGACACTTGTAGTGAGGATGAAGTGTCTTCCCTGCATAATTAGGCTTTTAAAGCTCACTGTTCTATTAGGAGGAGAGATTGAGCATGAGTGCTGCATTAGAATTCAAATTTCATCTAAATAATATTAAATCTCCTCCATGGCATCCTGTTTATGCTAATTCTTTTGGACTTAATGATGTTTATCAGGACTTACATTTCCTCTTCTTTAGAAGTGTGCTCAGCTAATGAAGAAAGGTTGGTTTTGTTCAGAAAGAGAAAGATTCATAGGACGCGCGTGCAGTGGGTTTGCAGGTTTAGCCCCTCACTGCAGCGACTTCATATTCATCAGGCCCTGGGTATAACCTATCCTCTGTGCACAGTTGATTTAGAGCAGAAATAAAAGCTCGAACAACAAAGCAAGGCTCCTCTCCTACACTACTACGTCTGAATACAAATGGTTCATAATTGAAGGCTAAACTTCCTCATTTCATCCGCAGCCAGCTGCAAAGGATGCAATAGATACTCTGCTGCGTCGTATACAAGCATCACATATGTCATGAAAGTGCTTCAGCCCTTGGAGCTGGGTTCCACTGTTTGAGTGCTGATGCTCGAGGAGGATGCTCAGCGTGAGGGGAAGGGGCTAACGCACTGCAGGAAGCCTGCTCCCTGGCCCAGCGTGGCTTAGAGGGAGGATGTTTGGAGCTGTGCTGGTCCTCTGCAACTCTGAGGCCGCAATCTCAAGGCCCAGTGAGGACCTGACTCTCTCCAATCCCAAGAAGGTGCTGTAGGGGAGGAGACAGCACTTGTTTGGAGCTGGTCTCCTTTTCACTCTCGCTTCACTTTCTTTCGGATTCACTTGCTTTCATTTGCTCTTCCTTGTTCCTAGATCTCTGGGACGGTCTTCTTCCTGAGCCAGGTGTTCTCTGATTCTTCCTTTATGTTTTTCCAGTTTTTCCTTCCCATTACCACCTTCCTTTCTCATTGGGCCTGGGGGTGGCCTCTGCAAGTCCCATGCTGTGTGACAAGGAAAGAGAGAAACACCAGGCGGGAAGCCCTGCCAGGGCTGGGTGCTTCATAAGGGAGTGACTGGCTGTGGTGACAGTCCCTTTTGACACCCTGTAGATTCTTACCTGTGACTGACACAAGAGAAGCATGGCTTTATCCATTCTGGTTACATTTAGAATCAGTATTTATGTCCTTGAAATCAGTCTGTTTCCTACAAAGCTCTGCCAGCGCACTGGTTTTCAGCGTGGCGTTCTTCTTCCAGATTTAAGAAATAGACTCGACATGGACACTGGGAATAAGGCAGTGAGCAGGGATGGAGGAAGTTCTGGTGCCACTGTCCGTCTCTCTATCTGTAGGACTTTTGCTTCAAAAGGGAGACTGGCCCCAATAACAGCAGTAACACTGTTGCTACACGTTATTCAGAATCTATGGGAGGCGGGAATGGTTTATATTCTACACTAAAGACTCGGTGGTGAGTGGAACAGTGGCATTACAATTCATTTATTTATGCCCAACCTTGTTCAAGAAAATTCAAGGTGACTTACAATAACCTATAAAACACAATAAGATACAATTAAATTAAAGATAATAGATAAGAAAATTACAGCAAAAGGAAAATAAAGATAGGAGAGGGTAGCTGAAACTAAAGGTGAGGTTGATGCAGAAAATTCACGCCAAAAAATTACACATTTTTACTACGGGCAGAACACATATTAATTTGACTTCAAGCTTTCTAGCAGCCAACACAGCGAGGAAAACACTCCCAAGTAAATAAATTTGGTGTCCATATATAAAAAAAAAGACCAGTTGTCCAAAAGAAGCACAATGCTTTTGGATGCTGAGGCCAGAGAAAAAAATGCTCCCTCCCATTTTCACAGAAAGGACAGTATGTGATATACAATGACCAACAGTCTGACGGGGAATTCATCAGTGAGCTGTGTCAGGCCACTTCTTATAGCATCCCTCAGTGCTGGACCCGGCATCACCCCGAAGTCCGCTGGGGAAGAGCAAGTCTAAGGAGCAGCCATCGAGTTCAGTGGTTAGAAACTTGAACTCTGGAGTTGGACAGATTGGCAAGCAAGTGTTGGCTCCACCACTGTGAGCTGGGAATCACACCACCCAGGGTGGGCGTGGGACTAAGTCAGGCAACAAATACAGAACACTTAGTACGAGTGCTTGAAACCTTTGAAAGATGCCAGGGAGTCCAGAGAGGCTATTATTATTGAACCAATGGCGTAGATGGACTGCATTTTCTTTAGGCATTACCGAACAAACACTATTTTCGCTTAATGGAGCTTTTGCTGATAAGCATCAGCTGGCCTGGCTTCTGGAGCAAAATGTTCTCTGTGCTTGGTAAAGGACTTTAAGAGAGCCAAGAGGGAGGTGAGTCTGATACATAGCCTTACAGAAACTGAGAAGCCTGGACAAACATGTGTCTGAATAAGAGGCAACTCTCCATAAAACACAATCCTGGGTCTGGACCAATAAACACAAATACAACTGAGGCCATAACGTTCTATGCTGAAGAGCATGGTTGCAATACTTTCAGCATTGGAAAAGAGATTAGATTGGCCATTCCCAAATATTCACCGTCTAAAATTTTTCTCAGTAAAACACCCTTACAACATTAACTTTGAATAAGGTATGTATTTGGTAAAACCTCTAAAATAAAAAAAAAATCAAAATTTATGCTTAAGTAACCAGATTCATTGAATTAGTCTATTGGGACATGATTCACACATCAATTACTATTGGGACATCTGCCCAAGAAAAGCTCCCTAGAAAAGTAGTTTGTTGCCCTTATTTCTGAGAAATAAGAGGCAAGCTCTTAAGGACATTTATCAACACAAAACAGCCATCATCACAACAACAGTGACAACGGCCACCCACCCCTCCCCTATGATATCTAAACATGGACAAATGTATATCTTTATATTCTCCAATTAGAAGGGGGAAAGGACAAAGGGGCTCATATATTGGGTTTAATCAGAGACGGTTTCAAATGAAATAACTGCTGTTTTGCTCCACCGAAAACTAGTATCTGATTCATTAAGAGACCAGCCTGATTTTAAGTGTGCTCTCAGTATCGGGGTCTCTACAAGCATCAGCAGCAAGGATCTTTGAGTTCATGTAGCTTAGCTCTTTCCTGTCTACTGAACCCAGAGTAAATCAATAAAGAGTGCAAATAATCTTGGGTTGGTACAGATTCTCTGCAGGGCATTAAAGAGTATTATGGGCAAAGACTATTATAGAATTGCCTAAAAACATCCCCCCTATTCAAGGTTGCAGTTTATAAATTAGGAACCTGGCTTTTACTTCGGACAGAATGTCTAAGAAACTAGTGGGTGTTACTATGGAGGGACAAAGGCTTTGCTTTGTAAATTACAAGGTGGGCTGCGCTCTAGACCTAATCACAGTCCACCGTTGTGGTGGCCTCCAAACAGTCCTGGAGGTGGAAAATGATCTCTGAATATTTTATTTGGCTTGAGGTTTTAATCAACTCTATAAAAGGAGAGGATATTTGATTTAGCTGATACTGTTATCATAGTTTACTTGCAGATTTTTAAAAGATGTAAAAAGAAGTCTGTCTTTGGTTTAAGTTTTACTGGTCTTGATGCCGCTTCAAAAAAAAAAAAAAGAATTAATAAAGGGAGACATGAGAAACTAATTCTGTTTTCAAAAATAGTATAACAGGGATAAAAGAATGCTGTGCAATCAACGGTGACATTGGAACAATAATTAAAAAGGAAATGCAGTACCTAGCTTAACTCCCGTTTCTAGGGAATGCAAATTAGACATCACAGGAACAAACTATTAAGGTTAACTTTCTGCAGTCACTCCAGGGTGTCATTTCAGTTGCCAGAGAGGAAACAGCCTCAAATAGCTTCACAAGGATGTAGCCTGTTCACATTCAATATTGCCAGATAAAGGGTCACGATGCCTTTTTTTTTTTTTTTTTAATTGGTGAGGCATGTCTTGCCTGATTCTGGACAGATCTGACTCACTCTGGCACTCCACCAGCCCCAGCCTGCACTGGGGATTTCAGCCTTACCTGATCCAGGCAGTTGCTGCGTAGGTATCTCAGCGCTTGCTGAATGCTCTGCGGCAGGGGCTGTCCCGTTCTCTGGACGTGGACTATGAGAGGAACGCCAAAGACAGCCTTGTCTCTGTAATCAGGAACTTTCATCCTCTTCATGAACTTTGGAACTGACCTAGAATTCACAGAAACCAGGTCAGGCAAGCCCCCTGGGGCACCATGTGGGGAGGGCCCCTGGAAGTACGCAGAGGGAAGCCAGGCCTTTGTTTCAATACCTGACAGGCACAGGGGGAATTCAACATTCTCTGTGAATTAATCACATTACATGGCACTGCTACATGGGGCCTTGTCTATGTGTTATCTACCAACCAGCACGGGTCAGGTTAGCAGAATGGATCTGTAGCTCTGTTTTCAAGTCAGGTGGACAACTTTCCAACGTAATTGTGACTGACACATCTCTCAAGTGATGAACACTTAAAAGTCCCCAACAAAACAAAACAACTTTAAAAATTATAAGAGGAAGAAGAAATCTGGTTGGGGTTGGGGAGAAAGGAGAAGAGATAAGATGGACCATATTTCTTGGCCATATCCTTACTTTTGTAGATATGTAAGTGCCAGTTGGATTTGTTAAAGGGAATTTTAATACACAAGCATATATTGATTTGACCATGCAGTTTATACATTTCTAAAATATTTTTATAAAAGCACCACCCCTTTTCTATATACATAACATATAACATTGGACAATTACTGACATATTTTGCATTTTTTCAAATCTACCAACACATCTACAAGGGGTCCATGTTCAAGTTTCAACATATGCTTTTGTCAATTCCTTATTACAAAGGTTTACTCCATATTCTTGTTTTTATTTGCCAATGAAATAAAGGCAGAAATGAATTTGAAGAATTAAATGCCCTTTGAACGAATCAGTGCTCTAAATGGTGAGCTCTGCATCGGGCCAGAAGGTACAAGTGACAGATGTTTCTTTGCAAACTGCCAGAATTATTTTATGGCAAGTTTATTTTTATTCCCTCTGTTCACAATTAATCACCCTTTACTTGTCTTTTCTTTCTTTCTTGGAACCTGACTGCCTTCCCTGGAAACCAGCTGAGAGCCACAAATACAGCAAGGCCTTCCTGAGGCCTCGCTCGCAGCCGGGCTGCGGCAGAGCTGGGCACATCACGCCCAGATCGTCGGCCAAGGCAAGGAAGGGGCCCTTCAGAAATCGGCGAGCGAACGCTGAAGCTTTTGCCATCGCACCCTTAGCTCTGGAACCAAGGGTCCCCTCCCAGGTGGACGTGCTACGCACCAGGTCCAGCCGTGCTTGTTGGACATGGAGTACTTCTCCATGACGGCCGTGAGGCGAAGCAGCGAGAAGCGCTGGAGCAGGTTCAGCTGGCCGGCCGTCTGGCTGCTGACGTGGGGCGACGCGGGGGCCGGCCGAGGCTGGTGCGAGAGCTGGAAACTGTTCCACCGGAGTCGCCTTTACCAGAAAGACCGTCAGAGAAGCCAGTCACAAAGTGGACTTGGTCTCGGGAAACACGGGGCGTTGCCAGTACGTAAGTAGCTTAATCAAAATAGTTTCCGAGCCAAGAACATCACAACGCAAATGGAACAGAAGACACAAATGTGCAGGATAAACACAAGAAATGATTTTTTTCCACGTTGGATAAATCCAGAAAAAGTCACATTATCTGTTTTATGAGGAGGTTTAAATAAATGACATAAAAATTTTTGTTTGGTTATTCCCCAATTTGTTCCCAAAGTGTTGAGAGCAGTTGAGACAGTGTGTGGGTGTATGTGTGAGAGACAGAGAGAGAGAGAGAAGCATAGAGAGACAGAGACAGAGAGAAATAGGACAGAGAGAGACAGGGAGACCTCTCAAATGTTTGGGGGTGATAGAATATGTTTGCATTGCCTTCTATGTGTCCATGCTGTAATTCTTGTTTGGTGTACAGATGGAGCCTAAGGTGACAGGCACAGATGATGACACATCTGTGAACTCCATCACTGCCTCAGCCAGAAACCTAGCAGCACGCACAGTGAGTGGTTCTGTTCCTACTAGTTAGGGCCTCCCAGGGCCATTTTTCTAGTGTGCTTCTGAAATGGCCTATGGAAGTCAGGTTTTATGTACTTTGTAATCAGCATTTTAAAGCAAAACCAAACTTACAAAGTACACACTGTAGGCCCCAAGAATTTCTCACAGAATTAAACAAAGTTTAAAATTTGGGGTAGACACATTTTGATCAATAAATACTATTGCCAGGTAGTGTGCAGGGCCTGTGCAGAGGAACTGGATCTTGGCTACCCAGGACTCCCCAAGGACAGTGCCTGGCATAGTGCTTTGCACAGAAGAAGCTGAAAAATTTTTTGTGAATAAAACTAAGATTGGGCTGGGAGCTGGGCACTGGGCACAGTGGATCATGCCTGCAATTCTAACACTTTGGGAGGTTGAGGTGGGAGGATTGCTTGAGGCCAGGAATTTGAGACCAGCCTGGGCACCAAACATAGCAAGACCCCATCTCTACAAAAAGCACAAAAATTACCCAGGCATGGTGTAGTGTGCACCTGTAGTCCCACCTACTTGAGAGGCTGAGGCAGGAGGATCAATTGAGCACATGAGTTTGAGGTTGCAGTGAGCTATGATGATGCCACTGCATTCTAGCCCAGGTGACAGAATAAGACCCTACCTCAAAAACAAACAAACAAACAAACAAACAAACAAACCACACACAAAAAACCCACAAAAAACAAAAAACTAAGATTGAAATACAGGGTAAATAGGCAGAGAAACAAATGTGAGTCAATGTGGATTCAGTCACCATGGTATCTATACAAAAGACATACTTTTGTTCAAATAATTCCTAACCACATATTATCACTTAGAACAGCGCCGGGCATTGATTTTAATAGTAAATGCTCTATAAATGATTGTTAAAGAAATAAACAAAGCACAATTACTAGGAGTGGATGAAAAATCACTTCACAAAAGCATGCCACCTACCTGTTCGGCCTGGTCAGAGAGGCCCCTACACCAGAATCCCTCCTTTCTCTGACCCCAGCGGCCTCAGCGTCATTAAGAGAAGTCCCATCTCTTTCCACATCGCTGGGTGTTGTCCGACCTTCTGAGACAGAGTTACCTTCAAAATCTAAGGTGATCTGATTGGGGGACGGGAAGGGGGAGGAACCAGGTTCCCCAGCCAACGCATCCTGCGTTTGCAGCTCGGGCAGGACGTTTTTTGACCAGTCATCGACCACCTCCTGGAGCCCGTTGACATGCTGCAGAATGTCGTCCAAGTGAGGGAAGAGGTCGTCTTTCTCCAAGTCCAAAAGATCCCCTGTGCTGGCGTACAGGTGGGAGCCCGGGACGTTGTCATAGATGCTGACGCGGCTTGCTCTGTGGCAGGACGCCGGGAGCCTGGGCTCCCTGGCGCCGGGGCCCTGCTGCCTGCCCAGGGAGATGCTACCCGTCCTCCAGTTCACCCCGTTGCTGTTGTCCGTGGGAGAGAGGCTTTCGATAGAAAGCGCCTTGGGGAATGTTCCCGGTTTGTGATCCTTGGGAATATGCACCAGCAAGTTCTCTTGGGAGTGAAACTCGTGCCTGTGGCTTTGGTCCCCTGCATCCCTCAGTGCTGGCCCCGCCAGCACATCCAGGTCCTCCAGGTACATGCCCCCGCGCTTGCTGGCCTCGTGGCACTTGCGCTCCTTCAGGCACGGCGTGCTCACCCCGCTGCTGCTGTGTTCCGACGAGCTGCTCTCGCCGCTCGATTTGCCGGAGCACGGAAGCCCTTTCTTGCAGGCAGCTGGGGGCGAGTTCTGGAGATCTCCGTTTGGTATCTGGATGCACTGCATGGCCTTGAAGGACTCTGGCTCCTGCTGCAACACGGGCCCGCTGATCACCAGGCCACCTGTCCGCCCTGAGCCCTTGTGCCTTCCATGTGCGCCTTTCGCTCGGAGTGTCTCCATGCGTTTCAAAAATGATTTGGCCCTGGTCCTTGTGGGCTTCTCATTCTTGGGGTGGAAAGGGTGGTGGAGGACGTCTCTGGGGGACGGTGGGAGGCCACTGCTGGCCGGCGGGGCATCCAGCATGACCGGGCTGTCCGTGCAGAGCTGGCCCGACTGGCTGCGGCCGTCACTGCCTCCGCTGCTCTCGCTGTGAATGGAGCAGACCTCGGGCTCACTCAGGTCTGTGAGGACACTCTCACTGCTGGTCGTGTTCCTCATCCCAGTGCCTGCCGGCGACCCATTTCTGTCTCCTCCAGGGAACAGTGTGTGGAGGTCATCCACGCGAGACCACCTGCGGCTGGTTCTTTGGAAAGTCCATTTGTTGCTGATACAAAGATCTTCCTCATCGGAGTCGTCACCCTGCAAAACATCAAGGAAAATGCTCATTTGCAGGCAGTGTGGCTGCGGTGGGAGCTCCAGGTGAGCTGGGGACAGGCCGGCATGGTCCTCCACCTCCCTCCCCTCGGTGCTCCCATGCACGGGTACCCTTGGGCTTCTTGCACACCTCTCCTCCATCCTTCCCCCACTTTCACTGTCCTATACATCCTCTTCCTCTCCTGTGGCCTGAGGACCTCTTCTCAACCTGCCAAGCTTTCTTCCTTGCCATTTCCATGGAGTTTGTGAAGCCTTCCTGCCTCTCTGAGAAGTTTTCAGACTGATTACAAAGAGGGTGTAATTACCATCTGACTAGACAGTCTAAATATAAAACACCTGCAGTCCTCTTTTTTGCAAAGAAACTCAACTCGGCCATAAAAGGCACTAACTTCTTTCCAGAAACCTCTTCACGGAGCCCCGCTGGGACCATATGTCCAGCTTTCCTCTTCTGAACCTTGGCGTCCACGTATCTCAGAGCTAACGCTCCTTACCTGAGTCTCCCAAACTTGATTTTTACTGTGTATTGCCTGTATAAGTTAACAGCAAAACTATCTCCTGAATTTCTCTAAGCAGCAGTTTGGGAGCCATTCTAGGGGTCACTATTTGAAGAGTGTCCACTCAGCTGTGTCACTCAGACCCAGAATCGGAATGCCTTTGGCAGGACACACACTTCCACGTGGCTGCAGAGGGGCCCCGAGGCCTTGCGCTGTCTCATACTTTGCACCGCACACATTTACCTTAGCTGTCTGGTTTCTGCCTGAATTTGCGGCCCCTGAGAGATCAGAGTCAGCCTTCTCTGAGGCCAGAGACGACTTTGTTTTATCTTTTCATATCCTTGGGCCTAGCACAGACCTGACCTAGAGCATACAACTTTCTTCTGAGATAAACAGAATTATCAGCTCCCACCTGCTCCCCCTGCATGTCACCAAGACCCAGCTCTGAAACGATTTTCAAATCTGTGCCCTCGTTTGCATGTTTGATCTCATTCTCTTGGGCTCAGCCCTTGCCACCTCTATCTGGATCTATTACGGTAAAAAGCTGGCTAGAATCCTTGTCGGCAGCATCTTCCCCATCTAAACGGCTTTCCATGGTGCAGTCCAAATACAACCACGTCATTTTTCAGCCTAGAAGCATTTAGCTTGCGAGGGGTGAGCTCATTAAGGGCAGGGCCTGTGTTTCTCTGTTTTATTCATATAAAACATGTTTAGTCATATGTCTTTCCTTCCTAGTGCCAAGCACAGAATAATTTCTTAATTAGATTGAGTTTATTTCATACCACTTGAGCATCCAGTTTTAAAACCTGGTTCCAAGCGTCAGTGGTATCAGTTACGAGCTATGTGACTGTCTGCAAGTTACTTCCCCTCTCTAAGGTTTCTGTCACTTATAAACATGAAATCTATAACAGGCCCTGCCTCATAGGTTTACCTAGGGGATTAAATAAGGCAATGCATTTAGTAGTTCCTCATTGAGGAGTGTTTGTTATTTTTCAATGTTTCTTCAGTTGCTTATCTACCTTTTTACATATCTAGCATCCACGTTAATTCCCCTTAATCTTGCAATATAGTCTGTTTTCAAGGAAAAGTAGACAAATGCACAGTTAATAATTGTTGGGATCTTCCCATTCTTGTTTATTCCTTCAAAAATCTAGTTTCTGTATGGGTTGGACTAAATGACAAATTCAAACATTCAAGCATAAGATGGAGGGAAGTACAAAGCCAAGGCACTAACAAGAATTCTATGGCTACGAAGCCAGGTTGGTGGTATGCACTGTAATGCCAGCTACTCGGGAGGCTGAGGCCATAGGAACCCTTGAGCCCAGGAGTCCAGCCTGGACAACACAGAGAGATTCTATTTCTTTAAAAGAAAAGACAAATTCTATAGCTTTGAGATCACAATGGAAAATTACCTTTGGTTTTTAAAAAGTTGTAGAAAGCTTTAGTGAAAGAGTTTAGAAAGTTGTAATTGTACAAGTGGAAAAAAGGCAAGATTCCGGGACAATGACTCAAAATACACTTTCTTGGTAGACTTTCTATTTCCTCCTTCCCTGCGGTTGATATAATAAAAACCCACATCTGAGGGCCATTTATATTACAAGGCACCATGTTAGGCTGAAGGTTGGGTTTATTGGACTTTCTTACTGCATTTTAGGAAGCTGGTGAAAAGAAGTTGATACTAACGTAAGCATTCAGAAGAAGGCCTTTTAGCAAACAATGTTTGAGAAGGCAAGAGAATGATATGCTTTTAAAGAAAATGCAGATATTTAAAAATAGAAACTACAGTATTTAGTGCTGGCTCCAACTGTGTCTCTCAATCCCGGTTACTAATGCTAGCAAACCACATACTAGTTGGATAAGGACTCCTTTATTTCAGTCGAGAAGAGATGCCAAGCTAGGCACTGTGGCCTGAGGATGGAAGGCCTGGCCTTGTGTGCTGGGCTCTGGGAGCTTAATACTAGCTTTGGCCAACAGGAATATATTTACAGCCCAACTATGGCATGTGAAAAAAGTGGCAAACTCCTGGGAAAAAAGACAAACAGTTCAGGAAAATTTTGCAGTATTTAGGTCATTTAAACCAAAGCAAACAAATAAAAACCAAAGCAATAAAAGACAAAACAAAACAAAGGAAAAAAAACACCAATTTTCCTTTGGCACCCTGAACATACAATTACCATAGTAGGTCCCAAAGGGTATCAAAATGGTTCTGTGACTGTGTCTTTCACTAATTCTGGATCTTTCAAACTACTGATAGTGACACATGATAAAAAATATATTTTCCAATTTTCCATCACAAATCAGAGCATGCATACAGATTACATTAAGCTAAAAAAAATTTATGGTAAAATAATTATCGTGATTTATTTGTGCTCTGATATTTTATAGTTTGGTTTCGAATGTTTCATTTTTTAAAAATGTTATTTGTGGCCCACCAAATTCCTTTGACAACTCACGAAGTGGCCATGATCTACAGCATGAACAACACACTGCAGGACAGTTTACGTTTTTTTTACATACTTGAGACACAGCAGAGTATCAGGCACATGACAGACTCCCCAGTAGTATTGGTGGAAATGTGCCCACTATCTAAGATTTCATTTGTTTGATAATTTTTTCGAGGTTAAAATGGAATAATTTGTGATGACTCTGAAATGCAAAATGGAGCTCTATAGGAGTGAGATGTGTTTATGAAGAAAAAAACATACTTTATACTAACTTTATTCTTCTATCTCCATGGTTTAGTAGACCATGGACATATTGTGGACATAGAATGTCAGGACTTCAGAAAGCACCTGACAACAGGCTCTCATGATTTGCTGTGGTCAAGATGGCCAGTGGTGCTGGATGCCACAGAGAGTTTTGTTAGTAACTGGTTGAGTGACTCCACCAAAACGTGTGACCAAAGACTGTAAGCCACTGAGGGAGGGTCTCTGGAGGCATGACTTAAAGTTCTGATCATTTTAAGAATAACTTGAATGAGCCAGAACTCATGTTTTTCAAGAGTAAAAGTGGCACAAGGCTATTCAATAAGGGATCTTTGAGACTCAGCTTTTCCAGCTGTAAATGAAAATGATAACAAACACATCTAGCATGGTTTATGAATGGAACCAAATGAGATGATAAGGGAAAATGCCATATAAACCCTAAAGTGATGGCTCTAAACTAATTATTGTTGTTAGAGAATAGCAATATAGAGATACATAAGGATCTAAACAGAATTGAAGGATGGCCTATAAGTATGATGAAATTTCATAAAGCAAAATACAATGAACTTCAAAAGTCAACTACAGGATGTGCAGAAAGGAACAGAATTTGTTCAACAGCCCTTCCTGTCAAGATGTGACCTTAATGTGACTTAACCGTGTAATAGGGCTACCAAAGACATCAATTTTAGGATGCATGACCATGGCACAGATCCCAAGACTCAGAATGTCAGAGCCCATTGTATTCCACACTGGTCACATAGACTGAGAACAATGGGCTCTCAGTGCCACATTTTAAAGAGTGCATTTCTAGAGAATAGTAATCATGATGGCCAAAGATCTAGGAACCACAACCTCCGGTGATGGATGATTGAAAGAACTACTAGTCTGATTTAGAAATGAGGAACTCTAGACAGTGTTACTCAAAGTGTGGTCGGGGGGGCTTGCCAGTCCTCAAACTTAGTCTTTCCTGAGTTAGATACAGAAATTGAGAGTAAGCATTAACACCATTTGACAAGGCTGAGCTAGGCAAGCTCATGATCAGTGGACTTGTCCACTGAACAGGGTAGAGACAAGTTTGGGCGCAGTCAAATTTAAATAGCAGGTCACATTTGGTGACAACTGTGTACTAGTCATGCATGGTGGGCCTACGTTACAACATGTGCTAATTCAAGGTTCATTTACCTACTATAACCCCAATGAATCCATTGTTTCACAGAAAGATAATTTAAATTTATAACTTTATAATTGTACTGATTGGCTAATGATAAAGGATTGAAGATAAATTCTGAATAAAAGTTAAAATGGAATACCCTGAGCTTTCAAATTACCTGAAAACGTCTTCTTTCATTCAGTCAACATACTCTGTAAGGCTAGTTTCTCTAAGAGGCTTGGTAGTCAAGGAAGTATTTTAGATATACATTATTCCCTGTGAGTAGTATTGTTGTCAATCCCACCTAAATTAGATAACAAATAAGAAACTCATTGCCACGTTAAAAATCTTATACGCTTACAGAGTGTTTGTTTGAAGTAGGCATATATGTATTTAATATGAAGGATTGCCATTTCAAAGTAAACTTTATTTAGTTACAACAGGTGAACAACAAAAAAGGTATGAGTGTAATCATGTATATGCACACTTTTAAGAAAAAAAATGTGAACTTTTTTTGTAATTCTTTTTTATTTCCTGTATTTGTCTTGATTATATTTATTGGAACATACTTTTGTGTCTTTTAGTTGAGCCTAACAATAAAACATTAAGGTCTGTATTTTCTATAACTTAAAAAAAATTCATCTATCTTAATAATTCCTTTGTATTGAGCTCCACAAAAGTATCTTGGTCTGTGGCAGACTGGAAAGTGAAAATAAAACAAGAAAACTGGTCATTCACCCCAGACAGTTTGGGAAACTTTGCTTTAGATTGGGCAGGGATAAAAATACTTTTTCTGTAAAGAGACAGAGAGTAAATATCTTAGGTTTATGGGCCATAAGGTCTCTGTCACAACTACTCTGTTGTCTCAAAAAGAAAGTGCACAGCTACATTCCAGTAAAACTTTATTTACGAAAGCAAGAACAGTGGTTCGTTGACGCCTGCTCTGGAGGACAGAGCCGAGGCTGCCATGTGAAAGGGGAAATCCAGATTTTGTGCTTCTCCTGAGGAAACATCTAGGATCGTATGGGGGCCAGTTTACAACGAATCGGCTTTTAGCTTATTATATGGAAGACTTTTCTAGTACAGAGAATAAAATAAATTGCCCTGAGACATAAAGAATTTACCACAAGGAGGCTGACTGAATTACAGGGGATGCTCTAAGAAATAAATCTTGCAGTGAGTGGGTGGGAAGCTGGAAAACATGACCAAAGATCCAACTCAAAGATCCTACACTTCTAGGACATTCACATGTAATTATCTGCAATTTAAGATGGTTAATACTTTCCAGCCCAGTGAATGATGGAATAAAATGTAGTTTTTCTCTCATTTGACTCAGCTGTTTGGAGCTGCCAGGAGGTGTCTTATTTGGAGGGAGACGCCGCAGTGTGCAAGGCAGTGGGGGCTGGGGTGGAAGCCAGGGCCCTTGTCAACAGCTGCAGAGCCTCTGAAATGCCAGGAGGTGCTGGCTGCAAAGTGGCAATTAGTCACGGTTTCTGTGTTGCTTTCCACCTTTGGTCATGATTTCAGAGAGCCTCATTAAAACTGTAACTTTGACCAGGACCTTCTTTGGAAGCTGCTCTTTCTCTCTGGCGAAAGAGGAACGCAAGAGTCCTGTGTGGGTATGTGTCTTTCTCCTTCCTCATTTAACAGACAGACTTATTGGAGTCTTTCGTCTCCCACTTTTACTTTGAACAGAAATTGTTCTCAAACACTAACCATAACCAGGGGACTTCAACGACATCGTGAAGCAAATGCAGATTTTGTAGGTAATGAAGAAGAGCCATTTTTCTGAGAATGAGCAGCTTTGTGTGTGTGCTTGCTTGGAGTTTTTAGTTTAGATGAGCCTCCAATGTTTGTTTTTTTTCTTTTTCCTAAAAATGAGAACATTCTTCACTGAAATTATTCCTTAGAGACAGATGCCAACCAGACAGACATTCCAAAAAGAAGAGCTTTTTTTTTTTTTTTTTTTAAATGGAGCTTGGCTGTATCTTTACGCCGGAAACAGGAACCCACACGGATCCACAGCTGCAAAAGGCGGCTTATCCATAGTTACACAGACATTTGGAAGTTCACTGGAGCTAAGTGGCTAGGCCCGCCTGTTGGGAAGCAGGAATGGGCCACTTGGAATGTTGGCAGAGTGAGGAGCCCGAGCCGCAGGCCGCAGAACCGCCGTGTCCTTGGGCTCTCCAGAAATGCCTGTTGGCTGGGTCGTAGCCAGTCTTCCGGGAGGCGCGTGGCCAAGATCGAGAACACACTTCACCTGCCTCTCACAGCGGCAGAGGTGATCTTGGATCTCACGCAGGGAAGGTAATCTTGAATCCTTAATGGACCACTTTTCTCTTCTGCAAAATGGTTAGGAACTACCTTGTGGGAGGACCGGTGCAAAGTCACTTCTGCAGGTGCCTCACAAGCGACATTTAACGTACAAGGAAAGCACACGCCTAACCAAGCACGAAGAAGTCTTTGCCATTGTCACCTATTTGTGGGCTTTTCACTTTCTTCCTTGGGTCAGCTCACCCCAATCTTCAGAATTAAATAAAATGGCCGTGAAGACAATAAATGAATTGTGGACTTTAGTAAAGATGGCAAAAAACATCCCTCTTGTGAAAACAATAATACAAATAGTGCACTGAATGTATTGGTGGGGAAACACCAGCCCCTCCCAGGTCTGAGAACAAGAGCCGGCTCACTCAGGCTCCAGGCCGTCTCTGAATATCTTTGAAACGTGAGGAGGGGCAGGGTGGGGCCAGGTTACCTGGATTCAAGTCAGTCGTGCCCTGCCATTTCTGCGTGGCTTTGGGCAGGTGCCCGAGCCCTTCAGTTTCTGCATCTGTGATGCGCTGTTAATGATGGGAGTAGTGCCTGGCAGAGAGGGGGTCCTGTGCCAGTGTCTGCTGACAAAACTGCCGAGCACGACATGCAGCCCTTTCCTAGGCCCGACAGCCCCAAAAGGAGAAGAATAACCATGACCTCAGATAGTTATGCCATTTGGGAACAACTTTCTACAGAATTAAACAAGTCTGGGCCTCTGCAGATTGGAGATAAGGATTCTATTTCTTAGATCACTTAAAACGGGGACATACCTACAGGAAATGCTGTTGTCTTATTTTTGTTCCAAATAAACAGATTTCAAAGTTTGTTGAAATGTTCCAGGGTGCTTGGCTCGCAAGTTTCCCTTTCTATTTTTGATCATCTGGCCTAGTCTTACCCGCTATTCATTTTTTCTATTTTTTTGTTTTTACAATAAAATAAAGGACTTGTCCTTTGTGCAAGGGGCAGATCACAGAAATGGGTGCCACTGCACAGCACGTCCTGCGTCGTTGCTTAGATCTGGCCACGGATGCTGGTGGTTACTGAGACTCACCTGGTGAAGACCACATGCGGGAATTATTTTTGTAGAAAATTCAGGCCACGACTCTCCACTTAACAATGTGAAAAGCAACATTTTACTCAAGTGCATGCATTTGTGAGGCCTATAGCTAAGCAGGGGCTCTGAGGGGGTATGCCACTGGATCCGATATAAGGAATACATTAAGAAGGTCGGAGGACCAAAGTGACCCATTTACAGAGGTGCTTTTGTGCAGGTGACGCATAAAGAGCTGAACAAACGTTATTCAAGCCAATCTCGCCTGTGGGTTTTGAAAAGCCGGTGACAGCGTAAAAATCCAATCTCTCCATTTGTGGAAAACAACTCATGTCATTAGTTTTTGGCATTTTCTTTTGTGATCCACTGCGGCTAATGCTCAGTATTGGCAGCTGTATGGACCGGCCATTTGAGGGCCCACACTTTAGACACACAGGCATGGCTGTGTTCAGTTTAATAAGAACCATGTGTTCCAATCAAAACAACATCTGACCCTCATGCTTCAAATAGTATGTATGCTTCTCAAGGGGTCCATTCAGCCAGACAGCTGTTGGGAGGTTTATTCCCACACTTTTAATTTGTCTTTGGCCTGGACGAATTGCTCATGTTTTAATATTTCTCTAGATATTGTTTTTCCCCCTTTTACCTCCTTAGTTTAAATCTTTCATTCCTAGCTCAAATCCCCATTTTTTTTTTAAAGGTGAGGTCCAACAAAATTCATTTTAATTTTTTTTTTTTTTTTTGTGGGGGGAGTGCTATTTTAGAACAGAAATTCAGGTTAAAGTTATTTTTAAAGATTAGGTTACTCAGGAATGACTTCAAATCTACTGGATTTAATGATTTCTCTGTGTAGACCAGAATAAAGAAATCTTTCTTTCGACTCAAAGATGTTTTCTCTGCTCCTTCAAAATATACTGGGGCTTGACTTATTACATAGTGGAGATGTTAAACAAAAAAAGTAGTTAACGATCTTAACTCTGAATTTCCTAAAAAGGCCCAAGTCAGTGAGAAAGGGAGAAAGACAGCACAGTGGAGAGGAGACTTAGTTTTGGATTTAGACACACCTGAGGTTGAAACCTTGCTTTGCATTGGCTGAAAGATCGTGAGTAAACAACTCAGCCTGTTCAAGGTTTACTTTCCTTATCTAGAAAGCAGAGAAGCCCTACCTGTCTTAAATAAGGTGACTTATGGTAAGTACATAACCTAGCTCTTGGAGAACAGTAAGTGCTCAATAAAGTATAGCTTTATTTTAAAACTGAAATCTCCGGTCTTATCCATACAGAGGGAGGAGCACACACAAAGCCCTATTGGGGTTTTGAAAATCCCAGTGAAACAGTGAAACAAACAGATCTCAGCCTGGGTTTATAATGGATTTCCGCATGACAGTGTGATAAGATGGGGTATTTGGAGAACACATAGGTGGTCAGGCATTGCAGAATTTTGCTTAGGTTCATGTTGTTTTTCATCTGTGAATGCAAGCTGCTTCTATTGGGATAGTCAAGGTCTCAGTAAGGTATGGACACCTACCTTTTTCCTTTGGAAGTTCACATCAAGTTTCATTGAGGCACACTTGTTCAACGTATTTAGTCGTCTAAAATAAAAGAAAAATGTGATGATTATCACCACTAATGAACCTAAATCTTCTTCCCAGTTTGATAATCCTCCTTTATTTCCTTCAGTAAAGTTGAAAGTACAGAAACAGCCAATTATGTCCCAAGACAGACCGCACCCATGGAAAAAATATGCTATAAAATAGTTCCATTTGTGCTCCAGCCTCCTGATCTAGGAGGACTCTACCCTAAAGCCTGTCAATCTCTGCCCCTTCTGTAATCTAAATCCAGGCCTTTTCTGATTTCTCTTTCCACCATTCTTAGAACGCATGGCCAATCATTCCAGCCATACTTTCATCAGCCCTTCAGTTCCTTGACCTTCCATCAAGTCTATCCTACTAATCCCATGATATGGACCAACTTAACCATGTGTCTCCTCGCCTGCTCTCAGTTGGGTATAAGTAGAAAGATAACTCACATTACAGTTCTGAATTATAAATGCTATGGACTGAACCGTTTCCCCAAAAAGATATGTTGAAGCCCTAACCCCCAATATGATTGTATTTGGAGTAAAGGAGTAATTAAGGGTAAATAAGGTCATAGGGATCAGATAGGATTAGTGTCCTTACATAAAGAAACACCAGAGAACTCCCTCTCTCTCTGCCATGGGAGGACCCAGAGAGAAGACAGACTCTCAAGTCAGAAAGAGGGTCCTTTCCAGGAACCAAACACTACTAACTCCTTGATGTTTAGCTTTCCAGCCTCCAGAACTGTAAGAAAAGAAATGTCTGTTTTTAAGCCAATAGTCTGTGGTATTGCCATGGCAGCCCATGCTGACTAATACATACATTCTGATTTTCACCCTCCACTGGGCTCCCAAATTGCTACCAGCACTCCTCGCATTTTTTCCCCCTCTGGTTGGCTCCCAATCTCAGTCAGATCATCAAAAAGACCCAATCCCTCAACAGAAGACATTGCCACTGCTGCCAGTGAGAAAATATAAGCTATTAGATTTGAATTCTTTTAATAATCATTTCTGTCATCATAAATTGTATCTATAAAATAGTATGTCCTGACACTTTTCTGCCTTACAGGAAAAGATGGTCCTTTGCTTTTTCAAAGCTAACCATTTATCGTTGTTTTGTTGTTGTTGTTGTTGTTGGGGGGGGGACAGGGTCTTGCTCTGTTGCTCAGGGTACAGTGCAGTGGCATCATCATAGCTCACCGTAACCTCCAAATCCTGGACTCAGCCTCCTGAGTAGCTGGGACTACAGGTACACGCCACCACACCCGGCTAATTTTTCTTATGTTTTGTGGTAATGAAGTCTCGCTTAGTTGCCTGGACTGGTCTTCAACTCCCAGCCTCAAGCAATCCCCCCAACCTTGGCCTTCCAAAATGCTAGGATTATAGGTGAGAGCCACCATGCCTAGCCCCTATATCCTTTTTTTCTGATTTCAACATCCACTACTGCATCTGGGACTTTAATATCTCATTTATTACCTATCACCTCAGCATTTTTCTCAACTGCTTGCTTCTCTTTAAGCCCATTCCTGTCTTAAACAAATGGACTAAACATTTAGTTAGCTACCCCAAGAACCATAATCGAGCAAACTATCAATCTTCCTTCAAAACCATCTTCCCATCAAGTAACTATACTAACTACCCCCACATTCCCCTTTCTTTTATTGCTTAACTTGTTGAGAACATCCTCAGTTTCATTCACTTTTTAACCCTTTGAAACCTAATTTTCATGAAATTCTCTTTGCAAATACCCTTACTGTTTTGTTTTACTTGATTACTGTAAAAATAATTCACAATTATGAGTGCATATGGTTTAAAGAGTCCAACATTCCCCTTGTATCTTCTTCCATTTACTACTCTGTGGAGGTGACTCTGTTTCTTTTGGAGTTTGGAAGATTAGGTTCCCAAATTCCACCTTTGGCTGACCTTGATAATACACATAAATAGGAAGTTATGGCTCAGGCAGAGTCATCAACTTCCTCCTGGAGCATGGAAACCATAATGTGACATGCACAAAGAGCCCCATGGCAAAGGCTGTGAGACATATTGGTTCAGGGTATTACAGAAAGCTCCATCCAACTATTTGCTGACCACAAAATTAACTGAGTAGAGACTTCAGTGGCCCTGACAAAGGGTACAGACTTCAGAAAATTAGTTGAGGAAATTCACAATAGCAAACCCTGGGAAGGGAGAATCTGATTTTGAGAACATATGAGAATGTTACTATACTTAAAATGTCTGGTCTTAAACAAAAAATTATAAGAAAGTAGATATCTACAAATTGATTCTAAAGTTTATATGAAGAGGCAAAAGACCCAGAATAGCCAATACAATATTGAAGGAGAAGGACAAAATCAGAGAACTGACACTACCCAAATTTAAGACTTATTATAAAGCTACAATTACCAAAATAATGTGGTATTGGCAAAAGAATAAACAAATAGCTAAATAGAAAAGAAGTGAGAGCCTAAAATAGATCCACATAAATATAGTCAGCTGACCTTTAGAAAGGAGCAAAGGCAATACAATGGATAAAAGACAGTCTTTCAACAAGCAGGGTTGAAACAAGTTGATATCCACATTCAAAAAAATCAGTCTAGATACAGACCTCATATCCTTCACAAAAATTAAGTCAAAATTCGTCATATACCTAAAGGTAAACATGAAACTATATAAATTCTAAAAGATAATAAAGGAGAAAATCTAGATAACCTTGGGTATGATGATGACTTTTTAGATTCAATATCAAAGGCATGGTCCATAAAAAAAATAATTGATAAACTGTACTTCATTAAAATTTAAAACTTCTGCTCTGAAAAAGAAACTTCAAGAGAATGAGAAGACAAGCTACATGAGGAGAAAATATTTGCAAAAGACATTATCTAACAAAGGACTGTTACCTATAATGTATAAAGAACTCTTAAATTCAATAATAAGGAAGTAAATAACCCCATTAAAAATATGGGCAAAAGATCTCAACAGACACCTCCCCAAAGAAGAGGTACAGATGGCAAATAAGCATATTAAAAAGTGCTATAAATCACATGTCATTAGGGAATTGCAAATTAAAACATGGCAAAAATCTAAAACACTGATAACACTAAATGCTGGTGAGAATATGGAGCAACAGAAACTCTCATTTATTACTGGTGGGAATGCAAAGTGGTATAGCCACTTTGGAAAACACAGATGGGCAGTTTCTTACTGCCAAACACACTCTTACAATATAATTGAGCAATTGTACTTCTTGGCATTTGCCAAGAGAACTTGAGTCCACATGAAAACCTGCACACAACTGTTTATGGCAACTTTATTCATAATTCCCCTAACTTGAAAGCAACCAAGATGTCAAGTGAATGGATAAATAAACTGTGTTACATCCAGACAATAGAATATTATTTAGCAATAGAAAGAAATGAGCTATCAAGCCATGAAGAGACATGGAAGAAACTTAAATGCATATTACTAAGTGAAAGAAGCCAATATGAAAAGTCTACATACTATATGATTTCAGCCATATAACATTTTAGAAGAGGCAAAACTATGGAAATAGTGAAAAGATCAGTGATTGCAAGGGGTTGGGGGAAGAGGAATCAGAACACAGAACATTTTTAGGACAGTGAAACTATCCTATATACTATTGTAGTGGGTTTGTGTCATTATACATTTGTCCGAACGCATTGAATGTACAACTCCAAGAGTGAACCTAGTGTAAACCCTGGACTGTGGGTGATAATGATGTGTCAATGTAAGTTCATCAACTGTAACAAATGTACCACTCTGGGGGGTGCTGAGAGTGGGGTGCTGTGCAAGTGTGTGTGGAAAGGCAGTGTATGGGAACTCTCTGTACTTTCTGCTCAAATTCATTGTGAACCTAAAATTGCTCTAAAAAGCAAAGTCTATTTTTTAAGATGTAGCCTTTGTTTTACTCATTTAAAAATAATTCTATTTCTTGGACTTTGAAATTACTAACATAAAGTGACCTGCATTTCTTTTGCTCTCAGTCTACTTGTTAATCAGTTCTCAACCCTACCTACAAAATCATCATCAGTGAAGACATCTTAGAGATTTGGGGTATAATTTGATTCAGGAATCCCACTACTGGGTATTTACCCAAAGGAAAAAAAAAACTTGCTATAAAAAATACGTCTGCACTCAAATGTTTATAACAGCACAATTCAAAATTGCAAGGATGTGGAAACAATCCAAGTGCCCATCAATACATGAGTGGATTAATGAAATGTGGCATATATATACTGTGAAGTACTACTCAGCCATAACAATATGGTGAACTAGCACCTCTTGTGCTATCCTGGATGGAGCTGGAGCCCTTTTTCTAAGTGAAGTATCACAAGAACAGAAAAGCAAACACCACATGTACTCACCATCAGATTGGTACTAATTGATCAAGACTTATGTACATATATGGAAGCAACATTAATCGGGGATTGGGCAGGCAGGAGGGGGAAGAGAGGATGGGTAAATTCACACGTCATGGGCGAGGTGCACACTGTCTGGGGGATGGACACAATTGTATATTTGACTTGGGCAGTGCAAAGGCAATTTATGTGACCAAAGCGTTTGTACCCCCATAATATTCTGAAATAATAAATAAAAAGTAAATAAATATTCTTCGGTATGATCTTCATATAGGTAAGACCATGTCAAGGCAGTGTCTTTATGTAGGTAAGATGGTTTCCCTGTGTCTAGAAAGACGAGAACAGGAACAAACAGGACACACAGAAGAGCTAGAGATAGAAAGAAGATGGCAAAGAAGATGCTAAGGGCTATTTTTAGAAAGAAAGACAAGAGGGAAGGGAGTGATTGTCAACCTGGAACACTGTTGAGAATTTGGAAATAATAAACCAGCTTGGCTTCCTCCCTGAAAAAAAAAAGAAAAAGAAATTTGGGGTAAAAACAACCATCCAACTTTTCTTAATCTTGCCATAGCCAAAGATGAAAATACTCTCTATGGTTGCCCTAAACTAGGCACACATTCCTGGCATGGTGTAGCACTGG